GCCTTACTACTAGGAGCAAGAAGCTACTAGTAGCAAAGGGCATCGCTACCAGGAGCAAGGACGCTACTAGGAGAAAACAGTGCCCCCCAACGGGCCCCGATGTGGGGGAAACGCTGGAAGAGTTGGCCGAATCGAAACGGTTCAGTCATGTGTTTTTTCCCATCGAAACACTGCGCCCAGTCTCCCATACTGGCCACACTTGATGATCTCACTTTTCTGCCTGAGAGGGAAGAGGGCGGAAAGACTAGGGAGCGCTCCGACACTTGCTTGGAATACTTCTGCAAACTCCAAGCTTCAATGAGTGAGAAGGACTCCAAAAAATTACAGGCATGTTCACGAAATGTCGATCCCGTCTTTGGGAACTGTTGCTCATCTCCCAAGCTGAATGGCCTCAGACACGCGCGCCTGGTATCTAAAGCGTAGCCAGATTTGCATGTGACAACCGACAACTCGCCGAAGCGTAGCACCTGATGGGAAAACCCACGCCAGCAGAAAAGTGTCTGTTTTAGCCCGCTCCCGCCCCCCTCAGCAACTACTATAGTAAGCTACTAGGAACTTGTTCGCTCCTAGGTAGGATGCAGGATGGCTCAAGCTTCGAGAAAGCTTCCCCCCCGCCTAGGGTGGGGGGGAGCTTACTTGAAGAAGCGCTCGCACTAAATGAGCTCGCAGTACCTCTCAACCACTGGTGTTGTTTGACGCAGTAGACTCAACGACCTACAAATTGGTCCTATGTTGAGTGGGCTTGGGATTGTCCTTGGCCACTGTTTGTGGCTTGCTTCATGCAGGATCTAAATCACCAAGCAAAATACACAAAAAAAAAGACTGCAAAACCATGTAAAACCTAAACCACCGACGTTGCCCTCCGTTCTCCTTGCCATCCGTGCTTCGTCCAACCCCCCGGAGAAGAGGACAGACGGTTCGTATACTGGGACGCCGGGCTCCGCTGTCCGCCACCTGGCGCGTGGAGCGGAGCTCCGCAGTCTGCGTTGGTCACAAGGAGACACGAAGGAGACACGTTCGATTTCGAGGCAAACAGTGGCCAACAGATTCCTGGACATTCTGAAGAGCAAAGATATTCTTGGATTCCAGATCTGAATCGACCTCACTTGCTTGGCGCATAGTTTGTTTGTGATTTGTGCTTGGTTGTTACATCCATGTTGGTCTCTCCTGTGATCTGGTGGTTGCCATGCTACAAATGCATCCAGGCGTGTGCTTTGCAAGGCTGTCATCTTTTTCTTTGAAACATTACAATTTCTCTCGCAGTGTCACTATAGTCGTCGTCTGCTTGGTTCAACGCTCCATGAAGGATTTGTTGGAGCAATTGGCCGCAACAGCCGCAAGAACAAACCCTTCTTTTAAGGTTTCGCACGTCGTCTAATCCATTCAAACTTCCAAGTATGGTGTATTAACCTTCCAAAGGGATCACTGTGTCGACAGAACACACCTGGACCTTTGTTCAGCAGAGAGAAATGCAGAAATGCCCCTTCCGACGCCGGCACCTGACATCCAGAGATCATCATATTCCGTTTCACCTTCGGGCAATTGCATGTGGTCGAGGAGACCAAGAACGTGGCCTGGCTCGCCGGCTGCACCAAACCGATTTCCACGACGGAGACCGTGTCTGGAACGAAGACGTCCACGGTGCTCACCGTTGGTCGACGGCAACTCGTTGTTCGTTGTGGGTCAAATGCGGGTGTTGGTCCAGATCTTAGTAGCACGTAGATGAACGTAATCACCAAGATTGCAAATCTTCAGAATAGATGCAATAGATGTCCGATGATTTTTCGCCGGAGTAGCAGCCGCTAGCCGCTTACAATGATCCACCACTGAAGACTAGTGCGATTCTTTGTTGCAGACATGGTGATTTCGCACCCGATCGACATCTATCCACCAGCCACGTTGCAGCGACCGGCATGTGATCCGAGCCATTCTGCTTGTCCTTAGGACGGAAAACCTCTGCCGTCCCTGGGGTGTCATTCGACACCTTGGTTACTTGCCGTCCCTGCCGAAAAAAAGAACACATTGATTTGATTGGAAAAGAACCGACATCACCGACCCTGCCAGGGATTTGTACACTCGATGTGTTTGAATGTTTAGAGATTTGCCATGCAGTGGGCGTGTGCGAGAAGCCATCTCTATGGACAACCTTGTGAAGGTGGTGGTCAACACCATATTAATGATATTAATGTATTCATTAGTTGTTGTTCTTGCACCAGCCCCTTGTAGTTTGTGAAAACAGAGTGGGGGACAGACACTAATGGATCCACATCTAGGCTTTGAAGTCACGGTACTTGCAGAAACATTATATTATTATGTAATAATAGAGTTACATGTAACAATAGTAGTGATAACAATAACTTTATACATGTGTATATATATATAATAGTAGTATATTTACATGGAACATGAAAGGTTAAATGGATAGCTCACTTCACAACCAAACACCAGGATGCTGATTGGTCAGTTTTTCCCTATTACACCTGAGCAATTTGTTGCTACCTCTCCGGCTGCTGATGAAGTCGGGCGACCATCCTTACACCTGACATCCCCGCCCGGGCAGGGCGGCAGTGATTCATTTTGCTGCACGTGCGTTCCTTCTCTCTGCTTTAAAAGGTACGACCCGCATGGATCTGCTGACAAGTCTCCTTGATCCCTGGATAATCCATCCAACCTCACCAAGAGTTTTCTCGTTCAAACCGGCGGGCAAGTTGCACCAAATGTTCGGCGGTAACATCTTGGGTGCCCCTCCATTTTTTGCGCATCTTGGGGGTGACCATCCCTGGCATGTCACTTGCAACACCACAAAGCGAAAACAAGAAAGCGGGATTCTGCAGCTTCCGTCACCTGCTTCCCCCAGGAGGGAGACCTTCAGAGTTGAATCCCTCTTGATTTCCCGGAAGCAGAAGCCTCAGTCGTGCTCGCAAGCCAATCCGCCTTGAAAAAGGAGGTTCAACGTGATTTCTCCTGGTTGATCCTGACTTCAGTGTATGCATGTGAGCGGAATCCAGCTCCGGTCGAGTAGACCCTCCCTGAAAAGGAATGGTTGTTTCTCAACTCAAAGTTTCTCTAAGAAAGCTCGATTGGAGGAAGGCAAAACCTTAAAAGACTTGGGTTCTGGGTCATAGTAGTAGTGGCAGCAGCAGCAGCAGTAGTAGGAGGAGGAGCAGGAGCAGGAGCAGGAGCAGGAGCAGGAGCAGTAGGAGTAGTAGTAGTAGTAGTAGTAGTAGTAGTAGTTGTTGTTGTTGTTGTTGTAGTTGTAGTCGTAGTCGTAGTGGTGGTCGTAGTGGTGGTGGTGGTGGTGATAGGTGGTGGTGGTGGTGGTGGTGGTGGTAGTGGTGGTGGTAGTGGTAGTAGTGGTAGTCGTCGTCGTCGTCGTAGACCGCTAGAAAAAAATAGTTTCGCTTTTGCCAGGGCTCCAATTTACGCATTTCTACGATCCCCTAAACAAGTCGTACACTTCCTTCCCCTGGGCTTGCAAACGTCAAGTCGAAGAATTGTTTGGAGCAATGATGTCGACGAGTTCAACTGGTTTAGAAAACGGCTTTCAGGTCAGAGTTCTAGGAATCAAGCAAGGTTAACTTGAAGGGAAGCAATAGCTGAACAATAGATAGCTAAATGAATAGACAAGCCTCATTGTAAAAAATAGCACACAAAACAACAACCTGGGCCAAAATAGCTATTTATTATTTCGACCCACATAAACTATTCAGGGTGTGGGAACAATTTCGGAAACTCTATTCTTCCCACCCACTTGACTATTTGGGATTGAACAGTAACCCTGTTGTCCAGCAGTTCCCACCACCGGTTTGATTTCGCATTCAACGTAAAGACCTCCAGCCAACCAACCGCTGCAGCCCAACCTTCCTGCAGAAGAAGAAGCGGTCCAACCAGCCCAGCTGAAGGTCATCCTTCTTTACTGCCCAACGTTCGAGGCCATACTTATCCATTAAAGCTTTGTCCTCCTGGAGCCACATGGTGAGCAGAACCATTCGGGGCATCTGCACATCCCGGCACCGCATTCTGAAGAAAAAAACGCGGTAATTATAGAACAGTTGGGGTAGTTATATATAGATAGTTATAGTTGGTTCCAAACCCAAACATGTACTTTTTCATGTTGGTTCCATTCTCTCAAGCGATGTAAAACCCGATTTCCAAGAGGCACTTTCTCGCGACGGTCGAGATGACGTGACAAGTCTTCTTGTGGCGCCTCCGACTTTGATCTGACAGGTGCATGTGGCCGCACAAAAAAAACGTCTTTTTTCAACGTTAGGATTAATGAACCCCCCCTAGTTAATCCGAGCCCACACAGCCCCGCAAATTCACCCAAATGAAAGTAGTATTGGAGCATATTGGAGCTATTTGGAGCTAAATTCCACCCCAAATAGTGTACTTGTCATCTAGAAACCCCCCAATTAACCCGAGCCAAACAACCAAGAAAATATATGTATTTTTAATTATTAGATTAACTAAGTGGATTTATTGATCATGGTGCAACTATCATCATCATGCTGCTCATCTCTATCTAATCATGGTCTAGTGGCCTCATAGCATATTATTCAGGGGGAGTGGACCTCATGAATGGTAACCTCAGACCTTATGGATCTTGTTGACCTCCTATGTGGGGGGGCCGGTTTATTAATCCTGGGTTTGCATTACTATCCAACCCGCTGAAAAATGGCAGAATAGACTCTGCAAGAACCGGAGAGGCATTCACTTCCCAAAAGCTAGCCCCGTTACTTCTGCGCATGCTTTGACCTGATAACGTACACATGCCGCAACATGTATCAGCTTTGGAATGAGCTTCTCTTGGGCGTGCTGTATTATCTCACAACTCCATGTGTCTTGATTGCTGAATTAATATTTAATTACATGCATATATAATACCAGAATATACATATATTGATCGAGAGCCAGATTCCAACAAAAATAAGTTGTCTCTGCAAAAGTGCACAGGGTTTCCCCATATTTTAGCAAACTACCCCATATACCTCTTCCAAACTGCCCGTGCTGCAAGAATCCGTGTATACCCGTGTTCCAGCAAGTTCCGCGCACTCTGCCATACCACAGGTTCATCGGTGCATGTTACACTAAAGGCTGTTGGAAAGTGGCCCCACAATCAGTTTCGGTCCTTTTTCCGATAGCACTGCTTCGCAAACGCAAGCACCCATTCCTGGCAAAGGGGTGCCTTTATCATCCAATGGCTTGCAGGTTCAGCTACTAATTGTGTGAAGTAAACACTGTTGAGCAATGTTGAGCAATAGTTTTCGTTTTCTTTTCACCATGTGCTACAGTAATGGCACAATCCGAATCCGCACTTGTGACGTTTTCCTGCCTTTGAAACACTCAATCGGCAAGGTTCAAGCGATTTGGTCGGTTTTGTTCATTCGAGAACACTTTGCTCGAAAAGAATCGTACTCGGCTTACAATCTGTACTCTGTGTTCATTCTGTGCGGTGGATCTCCCTGAAGTGGTCAACAAATCCATGTCTCATGTCATATGTAGCCCAACCTTCCAACATAACAAGAAACCACAGCTGCACGCGGTGGCTGCCCTGCCTTGCATTCTGGCTGCTTTACTTGCCCACACTGACTCAAGGCTTCCCCCACTTTGCTGCACGCCTGCAGAGCGGCGTCCGTTGGCCTTTTACCCGGAGGACGGTGATCACGACTTGCCCCAAACAATTATCCCGACAAGAGACCCCAAACAGTGTGTGTGTGTATCAACACCTGTTTCCAAGGTTTTGCGTTTCATGTCTCATTTGCGTAATTCACTTCGAGTGGAGCGACGAGCACCAGCAGGGGGGGGCATGAACACTTTGGAAGGCATTGCCCAAGGAAGACCCTTCCATCGTGTTGTGACATGACTTTGGGACGCCAAAGTCACGTACCTGCAAAAAAAATCAATGCATTAAAGGGCTAGCGAGTGCTGTTGAAACATTCAGTTGAGCGGACTTTTCACTCCATGCCGTTGAATCAAGTCAAGTGCTAAGTATTCACCTAAAGGGCTAACGCATCCGTGATCCAGCAACTGACTTAGCTCTTGCGTTATAAAAAACTTTCATATGGTAAGGCCAGAATCCTTGATTTAAAAAAAAGTCAAAAAAATAAAAAAAAATCAACTGGAAAAGTCAAAGTCAAAAAAATCGAATTGAAAAGTCAAAAAATGACAAAAAATCAAAAAAAAAACAAAAAAATAACAAGAAACAAAAATGTCCAGTCAAGCGACTCAGGAGCAAAAGAAAGCCGGCATATATATATATATATGGAAAACACAGGCAAAGAGGACAACAACATTGAACTAAACTAGTAACAAGCTCATAAGTCAGCCAGGCAAATTGCAGCCTTTTTGCTTATGGCTTATGGCTTTCAGTCTATTACAAATTCTAGAACCTTTTTGGTTGTTCAACTTTCACCTTTTCCAGCCCCAAGCCAGCCCCAACCCCCTACCCCAGAGTCGCCCAGCCCCAGCCACTGTCCCAGGGTCTCTTCAGCCCCAAGCCAGCCCTGTCCCTGGTGGCCCTGGTGGCCCCGGTAGCCACCCCAGAGTCCCAAGTACCCAGCCCTGTCCGGCCCCAGGTCGCGAGCAGAATTGACGTTTTTTCGACTTTTTTTGGACTTTTTTTTACTTTTTTTTGACTACTTTTTGTTGCCTCCAGTAATCCGCCAAGGCTAGGATCCGCGCTTGGTTTTCACGTTTGACTTTTTTTGACTTTTTTTTCGACTTTTTTTGCCTTTTTTTGACGTTTTCCCCTTTTGACTTTTTTTGGACTTTTTTTTTGACTTTTTGTTGCCTCCAGTAATCCGCCAAGGCTAGGATCCGCACCTTTGACTTTTTTGACTTTTTTTTGACTTTTCCAATTGACTTTTTTTTGCCGGCCCAGCCCCGCATGCCCCAGCCCGCCTGTAGCCTGCCTGAGCTCGACCTCAACCTGACCCCTCCGCCAGGAGCCAGCCGCAGCCAGCCCAAAGCTTGGCCCTGGCAGCAACCTGCCCCAAAATTTGAGCAGCTGGCTTGGGGCTGAAGAGACCCTGGGACAGTGGCTGGGGCTGGGTAGGGATCCTGCGACTCTGGGGTAGGGGGTTGGGGCTGGCTTGGGGCTGGAAAAGGTGAAAGTTGAGCAACCAACAAGGTTCTAGAATTTTTAATAGACTGAAAGCCATAAGCCATAAGCAAAAAGGCTGCAATTTGCCTTGTTACAAGCTTTTCCTTGACTTGTTTACCTATGCAACGTTTTTGTTTGACTTTTTTTGTGACTTTTTGTTGACTGTTGACTTTTTGTTGACTTTTTTTGACTTTTCAATTTGACTTTTTTTTGACTTTGACTTTTGGGATTGACTTTTTTTGACTTTTTTTAAATTTTGAAAACAGGTTCTTTCCAATGAAAGTTTTTTATAACTCTTGCGAGCATCCACGTGTGTGTGTCGCCACAGAGTCCCACTGCGGGCTGTGGTGTGATCCCCATCGAGGGGCGCAGCATCTGCATAGACCCAGATCCTGGGGGAACCCCTCTGATTGTGCCTTTCCTTCACCTGATCTTCCCTCGTAATCCCACAGGCTTACGGAACTGCCCGAGACTGCTGATTGAACGCCGCAGGGCTTACTGAGATCAGACTCCAATTTGGAACTTCACATGCTGCTACGTAATCACATGTCCATGTCATGCTGCTAAGTATTCACAGGCCAGATTCATGGGTAGGTCGTTCATGTAATCAACATTGTTTTTCAGAGTGCCTACCACTGGGACGCCATGAACTACCAGTGGACCTCGCCGCCTCCAACGATGACGGTCCCCACGGCATGCTATGGTCCGGCCCCACCGATACATTGTCATGCTCTACCACACCAGCCACATTTTGCACCGACGATGCCACAGCCGTATTTGACATCTCACCCAAACTCAGTCCAAGCATCGTCCTTTTCACCCATGACTTCTTCGATGGCACCCACTTTTGGCCCTCAACATGCACCTCCGATGATGCCACCAGAAGTATGCCTTCTACCAGCTTGGGCACCATCGCCTCAACCCACTATGATGACTCACTCCCTTCCGTCACAGCCCACCATGGCATGGCCTTACCACCACCCTGCTCCTTCACCCTCATACCCACCCAGTCGACACCACAGGAAGCCCCTCCGGCCCCCCACGCAACCCCAGTCACCAATGTATCCACATCCCATCCTCAAGAGCCCTCTCCAGCAGCACAAACTCGCGCCCTCACTTTGGAAGTCAGTGAGTGAGAGCGAGAGAGAGAGAGAGAGGGAGGGGGAGTATGAGTATGAGTATGAGTATGAGTATGAGTGGGTGAGTGGGTGGGTGGGTGAGTGGGTGAATGAGTGGGTGGGTGAGTGAGCTAGTGAGTGGGTGAGTGTGAGTGTGATTGTGAGTGCGAGTGTGAGTGGAGAGTGGAGAGTGGAGAGTGAGAGAGAGAGAGAGAGAGAGACAGAGAGAGACAAAGAGAGAGAGAGAGAGAGCACCTCGATTAGACACCGGTGCTTAACAACTACCGCAAGAACCCACAGTGTGACCACACTGTTTGGGGAAATACACTGATGTTGCGGTCGGTACTGATGTTGTTTGTTTTCTCCTGCTAACTGCAACTCATGTTTGCGCTTCATGTGCTGTGTCGCAGCAAAAAGCAAACTGATCTCTGCGCAGGACTGCTGTCTTTTTCTTGGGTATACCGGCATACCACTCTTCATCATCTTGTATACTGACTGGAGGATCAGTTTTGCGAATCATGTCCGAATCTCAGCTTCGTGAGAAGGCTCAAGTCAACTGGCAAGGTAAAATCCTCACAGCTGGCCACTTGCACTCGTTTCATCCAAGCATTGCGTTCCTAAAGCATCCTTCTAGGTGTCGACGCTCCGAAACGGGCCACTTGACACAGGAGCAGCATTTCATTGCAATCCATCGCCTGGGCTATGAGGCACAGGAATTGCATCGCTTCTTAGTCTTAGACAGTTAGCTGGAGGAGAGGAAACATGGAAGCCTACAGCACTGGTGCCGCAAAAGCAAGGTTCCCACTGTCGCCATGACGACACCGCTTGAGCAAATGGACCATGCACCGCTCTATTGCTTGGCGGAGTTAAGCCATTTTTCAAACGGCATCCAGGAGCCCGGGAGTTGCGATCAGCTGAAATTCCGCCCTTGGCGAACTTCTTGGGATGCCAACTCTGATACTAGTAGCTTCTTGTTACTAGTAGTAATGGCCTCCAACCTAATAGCGATGGCCTCCACCTAGTAGCTTCTTGTTACTAGTAGCGTTCTTGCTCCTAGTAGACTCGCGGACTTGGTTTTAATCAGTTCTGTCACAGCAATTTTCAGCAACCTGTCCATCCATTTCCGATCTTCTTCCGTCTCCATCATTGAAACTCGCCAAATCCAGCATGGGCCAAAAAGGACACGTTTGGTACCAACTTCACCCAAACATCTCCGTGGAAGACCCGAACTCCTTGCCCCAAGCGTCAAACTCATGCTCACCGTTGGAATCCTTCCTGAGCAGCTGCTAAACCCTGCTCAACCCGCAGCCATCATTCTGCACCTTCGACATCGGTTCTGGTTTCGGTGTGCTGTCTGGCTGGGAACCTCCAAAGGTTGCCAAGCCGAAAGAACTCTTCCTCTCCCCATGGGCCAGCCAGGCAGCCCGTGCAGCCCTGAACAGCAGCCAGGCAACGACAAACAGATTGCGGATCCAAAGTTCAAGGTGATCTGCATCCATCTGCATTCTGCATACAATACATCGACGCAGTCAAGTCACTCTGGGGTCATCTACAGTTTTGGACATGTAAGGCTCTTGTTTTGGGCCTCTCCAAGCCTCCCCCTCCTGGCCCTGCCTCAAAAGGCTTTGTCTTCACCGTGATGGGGAACGCCGGCGCCTCCAAGATCTTCTTCGGATCTAGCAAGGCGTCTATGTCCAGCCTGGCACCGACGTGCTAGGCTCAAACCGAGCAGAGCACTGGCAGAATCCTCATCCGAGCTTCGCTCGGGCTGACAGGAAACCAAAACCATCTCTGCCAAAGACGGCTGTGGGCGATGGCTCGGTCCTTTGCCAGGCGAAGTCCTATCTCGATCCGCCAAGGAACTTTCCACCAGTGCTATTGGTGATCTCAATCTCCAGACCCATGGTGGCATGCAGCGCATCATCCAAGGCTGTATTGTGAAACTTGGAAAACTCAATGGTCTTCTCCCAATGCACCTGTGATCGGTCGCACAGCGACCGACTTTTCGGTGAAAGCCGGTGTTGCAGTGGAACCCTTTGACTTGATGTCTTCCAGTAAACAGTAAGAAAATGCAATAAACTTGTGATTTATGTTCATACCTCCACCATAAGTATTCACCCATCTTCAACCTTATACAGTATATGTTTGGTCAATCCGCACAAAAGCTCCGCTTGCTCGGCATCTCACCTATCCCAAAAGAAAACCCGGTCAGCTCGAGCTGCGCCTGACCGCCTTTGCGCTTGTAGGTCGGTGGGTACAAAGCCTCTGCTGGCTGCCGCAGAGGAACGTCGAGGAAGCGGTCTAAAGTCAGACCACAACTGGTCTCCAAGATGTGTGAAGGGTTTTAGATGGTTTTAGATGGGTAGATCTGGTAGATGGTTCAGTAGATGGGTTTAGGGGTCTCGAGGATCTCCAAGAATCTGTGCTCCACTTCGGATTCTTTTTGGTTCATTCGATGACGGAAGATCCATCTGGTAGGACCTGCTGATCTATGCAGTTCAGGAAGCTTCGACCACGGGTTTACAGCGGTTCATTTCTATTCACCCGGAGAAAGAATGATCAGAGAAGCGCTTCTAGAGCAGAATTGACGACATTGAAGGCTGAAATGAACTACAAGTGTTCACCCTCAAATCAACTTACGGACGGACATGCATGGAGATGCTCAAATCTGCTCAAAGCGATCCAAATGATATGATCTGTCGGTGCGTCTCAAGACTGCCCGTAGTCTTGTACTTCTAGGACTAGGATTTCAATTAGAGTTCAGTGGTTCCTGTTCTTCGATCCAAGTGACAAAAGGCTTGTTGCACGTGAAGCCAAAGCCCCCACTCTCTGGCTCCTTGACCAGGGGATCTGCACCATCTAGGCCGGTCAAGAGCAGGGAGCATGAGAAGCTCAAGGCTTCCAGAGCGGATAGCAAGGGTCCTTCCGTGCGCCATGATCAACTGAAAATTTGGAGTTTCAGCCTCCTCCTTCCAGTGGCAAGAAAGGTTCAGGCAACCTAGATTCATCATCATCCAAGAGGATGAATCTGACTTCGATGCTTTGAAGAAAGTTTCAGTTTGTTCATTTACACGCCGTCGGAACAATCGTGTCAAAAGGCTTTTCACATCTTTTCACACCCCCCTCAAGTTGGAGTTTGGAGTCTCAAAGAACCTGGTCGGTGGAGGCTGAACGAACCTGGTGGGTCTCGGGCAACGACACAGCCGCAGCTCAACTTCGAAGCTCATGAGGGACGTGTTGGTGAGGTCAACAAAGCGTGCGAAGGGAATGGGGAATGGGAAGTCCGCAACTCAGGTGAGTTCATGCGTTTCCTCTCAAAACAAGCAGGTTGTAAACTCAAGAAGTGCCACACCGAATCCCAACTGGAACATCAAAACCCATGGCCGCCACTGTTCAATTCTGGGCGAAGATGACAATGACCTTGAATCCCTGTGGAGAACCGTGACGCTCTCGCTTCTGCTTGCTCATCCGGTGCGGTTCACAACAAGGCACAAGACCGGCTTCATCTTAGAGGTTACAACATGTTACAACTATTAACTCCTCCATCTCAATTCCCTTGTGACGACCAAGATGTTTGCTCCGCGCGAAGAGGTCGAGCAGTCTCGTCCCAGGAGCTCACCAAGTGATCGTTATGTCCAAGTGCTTCACGCTTGGTCCAGTCAAGGAGCCAGGCCTCGAGGCGTAGGTCCGCTAAGGGCATGGGCTCCTTTTAAGTGATTTCAATATAGTATCAAGACTGGGAGTCCAAGACCCAGCAAGTCTCTCCAGTTAGTGCAAGATCAAGTATCTGGATGCTTGGTCTCCACGAACCATGGAGAAATCGATCTTTTTGCTGAGAACGGCAAAGCCCGATTTGGCCCGTTCGAGTGTTCTTCGTGGTGGGGAAATTCATGGAAATTCTACACGAACAGAATCAGTTTTCCACTAGCAAACGCAAGCCTCGGTGGGTAAGATTGTTCTGTCCATCACTCCGTCACCCCATCTGTCAGCTTTTCTGGCCCGGTCCTGGGACATATCTTCCAGCCCAGTCTTTTTCAAACGATAGTTGAGGTCACCTTAGAAAAAGAAAGTCGCTGAGTCTTTCACGGAGACATTTGAGGAACGTAAAATGCTTGGTCTATAGGGTGTGAATGCTTTCCAGTGTTTTTTTTGGAACCCCCAATGGATCTTATCAATGTCTGGTCTCAAGATGACTAAGGCAGGGGTCTGGCTCCACTCTTCAGTGCTACTCCACGCAGAGTGCGGGCCCCCAGCCAGCAAAACCATCCTCACAAAAGCCGGGCCAGCTTTGCTAAAATCCGCAGCCCACGGCGCTTTGCAAGGAAACATGGACCAAACCTCTTTGAAGGTCCTGAGTTCCTACCCGGCCATTATTTAATTAGATGGCCCACTAGAACAGTGGCAAATAGTGCAGCCAGTTCTCTAACCAGAAAGCCTGTTCTAGTATTGCATGCCACTTCATGATCTTCATGCGATATGAAACCTGCGCGCAGGGATTCCATTCCCTGCGACAGTCGGAGAATCGTTCCCAGGCGCGGCGCTATTCTTTCAACTTCAGCTGCAGCTCATGTTTATCCATCCCTTCTGCTCTTTCACAACGATCTTTCGACAACGCCGTCGAAGTCTTCACATTCCTACACCATCTCCTTGTGGTTTGTCTCTGCCTAGAGCGCCAACGTGGCATCTTTTTGGCAAATACTCTACAAGAAAAGCACCCTGGACTCCAACCAATCCTCTGGAAAGGAAGGCTAACCTGCTGACCATTTTTTTCAACTGGATGTTCCACCAGCATAACAAGCATGAGAAATATCCCTCAAAGCCATCCAAACCATTGCCTTCACATTTGATACCTTCCAACACATCGGCAGTTCCAACTTGGGACAAGAGCCCACTGGCAGATCGGTGCATTCGCAGAGAGGCAATGCTTCGTCCAAGAGGCCGAACAGGAAGACGGCATCCGGTGGAGGTGGGAGGTGACTTCCCTCCGTCACGTTGCAGCTCGGTAGCTCCCGGTCAAACAGGGCACACGGCTGGCGCAGATCCCCTGACAAAGCGCAGCTTCTTGGCCGGTCGCAGGTAGGTCCAAACGAAGGGAGCGGTCAACATATGGTCAACCTAAAGCTCTATAAAAATGTATGGATGTTCTTTGGAGCTCAATGAATACAAAACCCGGTCGGATGCTGCAAGTGATTGAACTTTCGTCCCGGGTCGTCGCATCGGACGACCGGATGAGGCTAGCTGGCGACCGTACCTGAGGCCATACAGCAAAGCAAGATTGCAAGCAAAGTCCGATACGGTAGACAGTATATATATATTAATTGGCAATAATCAAAAAAAGAACTAAAATAGGACATGAATTTGATCTTCTTGCGATTAAAGCATGTGGCAAGCATTGTCAAACACTTATTAATCACGACATTCAGATTCCTTCAGGATGTTGGGCTTCAGCCTTCTCTTTGCTTGCCGGGTCCAACCAACCAACCGCACTGGTTACTCCGTTGTCTCGGATGCCGATTCGTCTCGCGGAGACTGAAGTCTCGGTGCGGGCCTTTTTTGCCGCAGGCTTCACTCCTGGCGTCGGAGGCTGGCGCATTAGGAGAGTGCAGAATTAAAGAAGAAGTGCGAGTGCGTGGCACGGAGATCTGCCAGTTACCACCCTTTCGAACAAACTGTCAATGAAGATCCATACATTAAGAATCATTGGGGTCTTGCTGTGTTTGCAAAGAAACCAAACTCTGGATGCCACCACGAGAGCAATGTCGGTATCACAAGCAGCCCAATGGTCACCGGTTCAGCTATCAGCTATCTTGACGATCGAAGTCTTCTCCCAATCGATTCAGGGTGAAAATGTTCGAAGCAAATCACCAAAGAATGTCCTTCCTTCCTTCCTCCCTTCCTTCCTTCTTCACTCCGACCATGTGCCACCTCCCTGCCTAGTCCTCGCCGTTTCGAACCGCTCCTGATGTTGGAGGCCACGTCCACATCATCGGAGCGGACTCGGGACAGGAGCTCCGCCACGCCAAAGTGCCGCTTCTGGCGTCGGTAGAGGTGTCGTCCGGTGAACGAGACGAGCTGACGAGCTGACGAGCTGTGAAGAAGGTGAGCTGTGAAGAAGAGCTATTACTAGCCCCTTTGGGGGTTCTGCTGAAACTCCATGAAACTCCCACTTTCTCTGATGGTGTTCTCAAGTTCTTCAAGAGATTCATGAGGCAGCGGAACGAACGAAACATCCCTGGTTGAGCGAGTGTGTTCATTTGTACCTGGACTCATGGACAGTGAACAATCTGCTTGGGCTGGCTGAGTTGTGACATGTTGTAAGCCACGACCCCGAGTTCCGCAAATATCTTGGACATTCTTGGACTCGATACAGTATTCAGCTTTCTCATGCTTTTCCAGATATCAAATGATCAACAGTGAACTTCCGTTCTTCAATTGCAAACATCCGGCAATGACGCCTCGTTCATCTCACTGTCCAAATGGGCACAAACAAAGTCCAGGCGCAAGTCTTTCTGGTCCTCTCAGGAACGAATTCATCCAACGGACCGCCACTGCTCAGTCTAAAGCTCTCCCATTCGGGCGGTCGCCATCAATTTCCCGCATCGTTCTGGCGTTCTTCTCGCGTGGTGTCATGACGCAAGTGCCAAAGCGATCGAGACTCGAGAAGACTTAAAAACAGCGCATGGTATTTGGACTTAGGTCCTGTCTATATAGACCCCCAAATAGCTAGAAAAGTAGACCCCCACTAAAAATGTCTTGGACGCTGTTTGGGACTTGATTAGGTCCGTTCAAAGAAAACGGCTCAACGCTGACACCGACACCGGATTTTTCTGGTCCCGAGCCTGATAACTGGGGAAGACCAGCTCGATAGAGATACCGCCTTTGCCCTTGTAGTCGGTGGCAATCCTGGGCTTGCGACGGCGATACGGCCGCTCGGCCGAGGGGAGATGCTTTGGGCTCGCGGGCGAGCCCAGAGAGATCAGGTTCTTTTGGAAACGGTTGGAGGAGCCAGTTCGACGATAACCAGTGTATCGTAGTAATTATCCAAACATATCCAAACCGTTCATGCACATTCCTGCAAGGCAAGCCAAATACTTGCGCCCTGAAAAACCAGCTCGCTTCAGCCGTGCGGCACTTGTGCTTTGGCATGAAGGAGATCGTTGAAATAGCCGGAGCTTTGCCGACCTTAGGTCGTTCGTCGGAGGTGGGTCATGGGGGTCATGGCCTGGGTCGAGCGTGCAGCCCGGGCTTTTCAGGGTGACGGGTCGAGCGTCCCGAGTCCCCGGGAGAGAGTTTGTACATGTTTGTACAAACAAGGCTCTCTCTTTTTCTCTGTGTCTTGCTCTCTCTACATATCAAAGAAACAAAAGAACCCACACAGGAAAAAAAGGGGTGGACGAACAAATATGTGAATTTGAACGACAATGGTGGCAGTGGCCTGGAAAGGAACAATGAGGAATGAATGGATCGATGATTGGTCTGCATGAGATGTTGCATTACAATGCTTTTGGGACTCCTGTGGTTTCAGCCTATAGCTGCCTTCCAGAAAGCCACAGTGGGTTTCCCAAGCAAGGTATCTTTTGTTCGGGAGCACCATCTTCCACCCCTCTGTGCCAAGGCTGAGACATGGGTTGGTTTTGACTTCGCTTGAGCCTCTCGCTTCGCCCCCACTTCGCTCTCGCTTCGGCTCAGCTGCGAAGCGTGGTCCTTGGGCCCACGTCCTTGGGAGTCTTTGCACCGCTGTGTAGGGGATTAGTTTTCTATGCAGCCAGTTTTCTCCCGCTCCCCACACGCGTTGCACACCCCCGTGCACCATCCCTGGTCTCAGGAATGTGACGAGAGTGCGATCTCAACTGCGCATGAGATAGATAGATAGATAGATAGATAGATAGATAGATAGATAGATAGA